AGGGTGCCCAGAGAGGGGCGACGGGACAGGGGGTCTGCACTGCAGACCCTTAACGCCCATTGCTCTGGGGTCACATCCTGCCCCTGCAGACAGAGCCAGGGGTCACACCATCCCGGCTGTGTCCCTGCTGGGTGCGAGGACCTGGGTGTCAGCACGGCCCCACGGGGCCCCGTTCCCACCAGGGCTGGCTAAGGAGAGGATGAAGCCCCACAAGCAGCCAAAGTCCTGTAGCCCTGTGGCCTCCAAGCAGCAGCAGACACCACAACGTGGCTCGGCAGACAGCTGGGAAGCATCTGCCCCCTCCTCAGCTGTGACTGCCCCCAGGAAGTTCTCCACGTCCAGCAGGACCTCCACGTAAGTGAGGGGATGCCTCCTCTTTGGCTGGACGAAGCTTGTCCCCATTCATGTTTTAGGGCTCCGTTATGTCCCCTGACCACCCTCGAGGCAGAAATACAGCCGGGTGGGGTGCAGGGGGTGACAGGACGATGGCCACCTTGCAGGGAGTCTGTCTCACGCTGCACAATCCTGACGGCCGAGGTGTACCCGCCCAGGCAGGTGGAGTGCAGGACGCATGTGTCGAAGGAGGACAAAGCAATACAGGTGAGGGTGGGCAGCGCAGCCCCGCGCGCATCCTGCTGGGAGCGCACCCGGCCCCCCAAAGCCATGTGCCCATCACCCAGACGTGGAACATGCAGCCCCAGGGATGCAGCTGGGTCGGGGAGCTGGCTGGGGAGGGCTTTGGCCACTGCTGAGCACCCCGGGAGCATCCCCAGGATGGTGGCCACCAGGTCCCTTCGGTTGCCATCCTGGGCTCAGCCCACGCGGTGTTTGACGACGTGGGTGCTCCTGGCCCCAGACACCCCAGTTCTCGGAAGCGTTACTGAAGCAACAGCACCCACGGCACGAGAAGAAGGGAGAAAACAAGGACGTGAGCAACAGCCAGGACCAGCCTCAGCAGCGAGCCTCAGCAGCCAGCAGTGCCCCGGGGGGCTCCCCCCAGGCAGCGGGGCGCACAGCCCCCAGCACCCCCAAGGGCACTGCCGCAGCCCAGGACAGGTAACGGGGATGGTAACGGGGATCACCCCTGGGGTTAATCCAGGGCCCCAAAGCAGGGGGACGGGTGCTCAGTGTGGGAATGTCCCTCAGGAGGAGGAGCAGCCTCACGTCCGACCTGTGCCCAAGTCCCAGCAACGCAGAGTGTGCAGAGCAGGGTCAGGCTGTGCTGGGGACAGAAGGTAACCCTAAGCCCTGGCTCTCCCCAGCGTGCTGCTCTGAAATCCTCTGTCCCACCTCGGTGAATCCAGCACTCTGGAGAAACCACCTTCAGGGACCATTTAATGTGCTGGCATCCAAAATATCCTCCCTTCCTTCTTCTCCCACCGCAGGGGATGAGGCTGATGTCCCGGACACCGCAGCGTTGGGCAGCCTGGAGACCTGCCCAGCAGGGGAGGGGAGGCAGGAGGGTCTGAAACAAGCTCAGGCTCATGGTAAGCATGGAACTGTCCTGGAGACATGCGTACAGCAGCCTTGGTCTCCTTCTGTGCGTGTTTTATGGGTCCTCTAATAACAAACCTGGGCCGGAGCTGGGTCACACAGCCACCAGCTGCAGACGCAGCTGCCAGAAGAGATGCTGCAGAGAGCACAGAAATGAGCACGCTGGCCATGTCGAGCCTGGGGGAATGTTAATTAATCCAAAAATTCATCCAAAATTAAGGCAAATTAATCCAAAAATTTTGGTCCAAAACCAAGAGCCTCAGGGCTGGTGGCAGTCAGCCTGTGGCACCTCCTGGAGGTGAAACCCCGAGCTTCGCAGCTTCCAGGCCATCTGCAGGCTGTCCTACTCCCATCTCGAACACATTTTCACGATCCTCAGTTTTACTTTTCCAGTAGGATAAAAATGAGATCTTTATTTTTAATGGAATTTGAGGTGCTGCTGTTCACCACGTGCCTCCAGGAGCTGGAGCAGGGGCTGAGCAGTGTAACTCCCGGTGGCCCCAGCGGCACTCAGCGCAGGATCTGGCTGCTGTTCAGCAGCCACAAGGAGAAGGTAAACGCCTTGTCCCAGGGGACACAACCATCTCCACCCACTTCTCCTCCAGTCCCCGGCTGGGGCAGGTGTGGGACAGTCCCCTCAGCTGCCCGTCCCTCCACACGGGTGGCTGCGTTGGATCAGCTGCAGGAAAACGCCTCGGTGCATCCTCCAACCCCAAACTCCTTTTTCCTTTCCAGAAAGTGGGGAGGCAAACATGAGCCAGCTTCTGGAGGCTGATGGAGCCTTCCACGAGGATGGTGAGCAGCAGAGTCCGTCTGCAACCATCCCACACCTGGGTACGTTGGACAAAGACCCTGTAACACAGAAAATCTTTATTTCCCATTGAGCCATGGGGTGGGGCAAGACCCCTGCTTAGCCCTTAATGCCAGCGAGCGTGGCTGATCTGGCTCAGGACCACAGGAACCACCTGCTGGGATGCTGGAATGGCTTTTTCCAAAAAAATCAGGGCCATGTGGCTGCACTGGCCGCTGTAAATGAGCCATGAGCAGCCAGAGGCACCTCCTGGAGCAGGAGCAGGAGGTGGAGGCTGCTCGCAGCTCCCCAGGAGAAGCCATTTGCAAGTGCTGATAAAATAACTCCAGCCCTGCCGAACCTGCAAATGCTGGGCTCTGCCGAGGCTGCCGGCTTCAGGGACCGCTAGATGGTGATGTCTGCACGCTCCCGGCCGCTCTCCGCCTTTCTGTGCCGTTTTCTCTCCCCGTGCAGCCAGGGATCCTGAAGGGTTCTCCCTCGTGGAGGTTTGCAGGTTGCGGAGCCCCTGCAGCCAGCCCATCCCGCAGGCACGGCTCTTGCAGCTGCACTGCGGGCTGGGGCTCTCCCCAATGCTGCTTTTATTCCCCTGGCTCCTTCCCAATCTCCTTCCTGAGCCTCAGAGGACGAACTCCACAGAGGGCACCGTGCTGAGGCTGCCTTCGGGTTTCAGGTGCTTGCTGCAATGATGAGCAATAAAAGGTCTGATATCTTTTAATAAATCAAAAAAAAAACGAGCAGAGCTCTCCCTGATGCAGCTAGTTAAGGTGCATTCTGTCCCATCGACGACCCAGAACTGAGTTTTCCAGGTCTCCAGGAAACTTCCTGAAACAAAACGCATTTCCCCATTGATTTTAGGGAAGCGGGGCTCTGCCGAAGAGCTGAAGTCTCACCTCGCCCCAGCAGAAACCCACTCAGCCCAGCATCACCAGGAGGCACTGGAGGATGCGGCTGCGGATGGTGAGTGTGTTCGGGTCCTGGAGCACCTGCCAGGCAGGAAGCCTAAGGATTGGGGGTGGAAAGGAGAAAGAGCTGGGATTAAAATAAATAAATGAAAGCCAAACTTACTGACATTTCCCAGGGCACAAAATCATAGAATTCAGGCTGGAAGGGACTTCAGGACACCTCCAGTCCCACCTCCTGCTCAAAGCTGGGTCAGCTGTGAGATCAGACTGGGTTGCTCTGGGATTTATCCATTACAGGATCTCCAGGGCTGTGAAGGAGTCAGGGATAACCTGGGATGAGAATGCTGTGCTCTAGGAAAGCCTGGACCTCCAGCCTGGATGGCTGGCTGGCCAGAAAGACCCTGGGTTTGTGGAGCAGTTTTGTGGTGAAATTCTCCAAAATCACCAAATCCTTTGTGGCTACGAGAGTTCTCAGTGTTGTAAAACTCCCTTTTTGGTGAGACATTTAGAGCTGCAGCCAAGAGCCTCCCTGCAAGCTCTTGTCTGGCTGTTGGGCTCTCCTTCCTCAAACATCTTCCCCCCCAGCCACACCTCATCTTCCCCCGTTCCCCAGGGGACGCAATCGACAGCCGGGACACAGTCGACAGCCAGGACACAGTCGACAGCCAGGACACAGACCCCAGCACAGACACCATGGACATCTTCTTAGCCAGCGAGGAGCAGAAGGAGGTCTTAAGACGTACCACAGGTGGGGATTGATATTTCTCTCCTTGGTTTCTGCTCCTGCACAGCCACTGCAGCCAAAATCCCAGAAAGAGGAGCTCAGAGAGGTCTCTGGAGCTTGGCCACGGCCTGGGATACGCCTTGCACTCAGCAGAGGTTAAACCCTCTCCGCTTCTCCCTTACCTTTAATCTCGTGTTCAGTTTTTTGCTTTGCATTATTTGGCACAAGTTGCTCCATGTGTCCTGGCAAGATATAAATGCCATCCTTCAGCATATAAAAGTAAGAGGGGGTTGTGCCTAGAGAGTGCTAGACAGTGTGTGGAGGGAAGCAAGGGTTGATGAATGGCCGTGGAAAGGAAATTTAATCTTTCTTGGCCTCAACATCCCACCCTGCCTGGGGGGGAGGGAGTTTCATTGCATTATTGTGGCTACAGTCCTTTAGATCCTGAGATGGAAAGGGTAGGTGAAAGGCAAAGGTGCCTCCATTACTATTATTAACAACCTTTTCTTTTTTTCCCCAAGTCTCTCTGCTGGCTGCCAGCATGTAGAGGAGGTTTCTAATGCTTTCTTGTTACAGAGGACGCAGACACTGTGGATAATTTTGGTTCTGACTTGGCTGCGATGGAGATCCCCCTGGGGGAGATCCCCCCAAACCCAGAGGAGCAGCAGGAGGTGCTGGGTCCCGCTGCTGTGGACGGTGAGGGTCTCTTCCTGCCCTTCCACTGTCATTGCCAAGGCCAGGAATGTCCCCAGCGAGCCCCTTCCTGCTCCGATCAAATATTGCCTGGGTTCTAGGGGATGATGACAAAACCCAGGACCTGGTCTCCACCCCGGACAGTACAGCCAGAGAGATCCACGTGGGCAGCCAGGAGAAGCAGGAAGCCTCAGGACACGAGGAAGGTGGAGGTAGGCTTTTGGGATCCCTTGGAGGAAGCCCAAACGTCTCTGGAAACCAACAGCTGTGTTAAAAGCCTTCTGCATGCCCATACCGGTGCTTGTCCAGCAACGAGGATGTGATGTTAACACAAGAAGCTACACAAAGTTATTGAGCCCCTTAAAATAATGCTGTGGGTTCCCACTCACATGGGGCAGATGTGGAGGAAAGTCTCTGTGGGCGAGGGATGTGATTGCTCCTCCAGCAGTGCAGTCCTCCTGCCCCGTCTCAGCCGTGCCTGGCACCCCATCACAGAGCCCTCACGCTGTGATGGGATTAGTGCCCAATGCAGTCACTCCGGATTCCTGCCTGTAAAAAGCCAGCCCCAGCACTTTTGCTTTCAGTTTTCCCCTTTTCCAGTGCCTAACCCTCCCCAAAGACTCCTTCCTGCCTCCATCTGGAAGCTCTAGCCAACATCTGGGGCAAGCCCCTGGCTTGTGCAGCAGCTGCCACTGGGTCCAGCACCAGCACCTGGTCCTCTCCATGCTCTGCTGTCTGTCATTCCCACCAATTTATCATTTTTATAACTGTTATTTCCCCTGAAAGCTCTGCTCTCCCCCTGCAGCTGATGTGAAGGCAAATTTGAGCGAATCCATGACAGTGGTGAGGATGGCCCAGCAACCACCCCCGGAGGAAGGTGAGTGAGATCTCCATCGTGCAAGCTGCTGCCAGATAACAGCAAACAGGATTAGACAAGAGTCCTTCAGAAGAAAATTCTGTGGCTGTGTATTGTAATGAATTGCAAATCTGCCGGTAATGAAGCTGCACGGGGAGAGGCAGAGGTACACCAGAGCTGCAGCACGTTTCCAGTAGAAGCTGCTGGAGCAATCAAGGCACGGTGCTGCTCTCAACGCACTCCGTGCTCCGCGTTGTAACTCCTGAGCCACCAGGGTAGGAAAGCACAGCCCTAAGATGCGCTGCAAAGATTTACTTGGCACCCTCTGGCTTCTGTTCCCCTTCTTGCTGCAACTCTCCCGCACAGCACAGACCTGATTTGTCTGCAAGCCACCTCGTCTCGCTCGGCTTCCCCCTCCTAGCAGTGATGCCAGGGCTTTTCTCCTCCCTGTGTGCAGGCAAGATTAATTTCACTAATGTGCTGAAAAGATTTTAAACCCTCTGGAGGACAGAGCTGGAGAAAGGCAAAGGATGTTAATAACACGGCTCTTTTATTTAACCAGTCTCCCTCCACGTCCTGGCTGTGTGTAGAAGGCAGTAACGCCTTGCTGTGTCGAGGATGGTACTTAAGAGAGCCATGCTTAGAAGGAAAATAGTGCTCAGAAGATTTTATTTTGTTGCTTTCATAGAGGCCAAAGTTGATGTCAGCAGTGAGGGCTCCACCCTGGCCACCTCAAGCACCCACTCAGCCCCAGAGAAGCTGAAAGAGGCACAAGTGGATGGTGAGTGAATCATAGAAATACTGCTGGGAAGGAGACTCCAAACCCATAGAAAGGGTGGGAAGGAGACTCCAAACCAGCCTTCCACTTGCAGCCAAGTTATTGCCAGCACTGGATGAGGTTGGTTGAGGTTTTATCCAGCCAAGCTCTAGACTTGAATGCCTGGACATTGCCCCAAGTGCCTTACCCGGTTTCTCCTGGATTTTCTGGGGTGACAAGCAGGAACTGAGCCTGGGTCTTCAGCTAGCTGTGCTGTGATGCCTTCATTCTGGGTCACAGTGTGACAGGCTGGCTGTGCTGCGATGGCACTTGTGTGGCCTCTCGTGCATCAGCCAAGCCAGGTTCTGGATGAGCGGGCAGAGGAAAATATCTGCAAGAAAAAGCTTGGCATGCTGTTAATTCCCCGCTGTGATTAGTCAGCCTTTGGCTACCGTGAGCCACCGTGATCAAGGGGAAGAGAAAGGAAAAACGGCTTGTCCATGAAGTGCTGCCACTGTGGGCATCAGGTTGTCCCAGGCGGCTTTGAAGGGAAGGAAGAAAGGATATAAGGATGCAAGGGATATAAGAAGGGATATAAGAAGGGATATAAGCTGCCCTTCATGTCCACTGCAGGTGGGATGGGAAATCAGAGGCTTAAATGACAAGAAGAAGGGATTTGAAAGTAGCCACAGAGAAGATGCTGTAGCAGAGGACAGGGGATGCTGGGAGGCACAAGATTTCTCTTTCTCAATATCCTGCTATTCATGGACAAGAGGGCACAGAGAGTTAATGCTGCTGCAGCTCAAAACAGGGGAAGGTGCCATCGTAGGGTCCTTCCAGCTCTTCTCCTTGGGATGTCTGAGGCTGTGGGTGCTGGTGAGAGGGAAGCCCACAAGTTTTTGTCTTTCCATGTCCAGAAAAAGTTGCTGCTGGCCGTGCTTCCAAAATCCGGGTAAAACTGAAGCTCCTGCCAAAGAAGAAGGTTGAAAAACCCCTCCCAAAGAAGACAAGAAGGTAAGCATCAAGGCAGAGACAGGGCTTGTAGGAACGCTGTGATCAGCTGTCAGTTGGTCCATCTCTCCTCCTCATTGTGTGTGGCAGTGAACAGATCCCTCAGATGAGAGCTGAGTGTGAAGCCGTGAGGAACATGACAAAGAAGCAATGGAAAGGTAACGGTACCGTGCTACGTGCTCCTCCTCCCTGTTGACATGTTGCCAGCACAGACAGGAGTGGTTTGATCTTTAGCTGGGTCCTGCAGCACTGCATGACCCTCCTGAGACAACAGCCTCACCTTGGGGTACACAACAGGAGGGACAATTCCGTGTCCCAAGGATGTGGGGTCCCAGAGACTGAAGGAAGTGTCACTGCCCTTTTTGGCAGAGAGACAGCTGAAAATCAGGAGAGCAGGGTTAGAAGTAAACCAACCACCCCGCCCAGCACCTCACATCAAATACCTGCTTGCCCTTCTTCTCCCCAGACTCCTCAATTACCCTGCACTGTCAGGAGCTATTTAAAGGTGGATGCTTTGCCACTGGCAGGAAGGAACAACCTGCCCCAGCCCTAAATCCCTGATGGTTACAGTTCATTGCTTCCAAAAGGATGTAGGACAGGCAGCTCCGTTCCCCCACACCCCATTTAAACCACTGTCTTCTCCCTGCCTGCCTGCAGCATTCTCCGATGCCTTCAACTTCTTCCCCAAAGACACGGACGGCAATATTAACCGCAACAGCCTGGAGGTGACTGCTCAGCAGCTGGGGATTAGCTTGGCCGGCCAGGAGGCTTACAGCAAGCTGGAGTGTGCAGAAGCTGATGGTGAGTGCCTCATGGAATCACAGCGTGGGCTGGGTTGGAAGGGACCTTAAAGATCACCTAATTCCAACCCCTGCTGTGGGCAGGGACACCTCCCACTAGACCAGGTCACTCAGAGCCCCATCCGACCTGGCCTTGAACACTTCCAGGGATGGGGCTCAATGCGTGGATTGTTCTGGGTGTGCAAATCGATCCTTCTCCACGCGCCTTCCCAGCCGTGGGCAATGCTGTGCTGAGATGTTTTCAGAGCCAGTGGCCGTGCCTGAACCACTGTGTTTGAGCACTCACCAATGGCTCCATCCTTCACAAATGCATGTCGTGCTTTTTGGACTCCTTTACACATGCGGAAGCACTAAGTGCCACTGTCCAGTTACCTGTGAAAGCTTTAACAGCTTTTCCTCCTGCCCTTAGGTTTTAGCAAGCAAATCTTTCTGCAGTGCCAGCTCTGAGCTGCTCACCCCAGCATTTCGTTACAGCAAAAATCTGCCTTGCTAACAGAGATGCCGCTTGCTTGCAGGACAAAAGGCGATGAATTTCTCAGACTTTCTGACCACCGTTACTGACAAGAACTGCTTTATCCAGACAGTATGTAAGTAAGAGACACCCTGCCCATGCAAATGTTGTGCTCCCCTCCAGCAAAACTTGGAGTTACCCAGAGATATCTGAACTATCTGATTCCCAGACTAATTGGTATGGAGCAAGAAATCAGCATTGGGACCCAAAGAAACAAAGGGACCCAAACAAACAAAGGCTGCCTTGCTCAGACAAGACCGTGATAGATCAAGGGCTTGTCACAGTGCAGCTGAGGGTTAGCTCTGTCCCCAGGCCAAGCAGCAGAGCGGTGGGGAAGGACCATAGTGCTGGCCAGTCTCAGCGAGGGGAACACAAGGACAGTGGCATGAATCCAGCATCCAGTCCAAGTGCTCCTGGGTACCAGAGCAGAGGCCAAACTCACCTCTCACAAGCAGAGAAGCAGTAGTAGTAGAAGATGTTATCCTTCTTTGGCTAATGAATGGCTGCAGGGGCTTGTCCCCCCTGCTAGATGTCTAACCAGCACTCAGCAGAAAATGGGGACAGATCCCTATTGTCCAATCTTTCTGGGGACTGCTGGTGTCTCTGCTCCCTGTGAGCCCTGTGAAGGTAAGACAAGGCTCAGTCATGGCTCTGACTGCTCTCCTTCTCTCCAGTCCCTGAGAAAAGTGATCCAGGCAGCTTCGATTCTGTCGATGCCAGAGGAATCCTCCTCTGCAAAGTCTTGCTGAAGATGGTGGAGTTGGAAGCTCTGCCTCGGAAAACTCTTCTTCAGATTGCCAGGTGAGCACTGCATGACAGAGAAGGAAGCTCTCCGTTTTATTGGGACATATGTGGATTATCTAACTTAATATGTGGATATCAGGGCCCAAGACTGTATTTCCTGACATGTTCCATACCTAGATGGATATCCAAAAGCACCTGCATAGCTAGAGTATTTTCTTTACAAAGGTGTTGTTGTAAATGCCACAATGTGTCTATCTCACACCATTTAAATATGGGCTGTCGAGATATGTCAGTGTACAGCAGCCAGTGCTGAGCAGGCCTTGGGCTCTGTTTTGCTGGACAACTACGCCCTCTTTTGTCTTCTAGTTACTACCAGCAGTTTAGGGACTACATTGGCCACATAGACTGGATGGATGCTGATTTTCTCACGAGTTACAGAAAGCACAACAGTTACAGGAAGCACAACAACAAAACTAGGAAAGACCTGGTTTATCCTATGTCTTCCTTTGTAAGTGCTGCCCGCATCTCAATGATGAAGGAAAAAGAGGCAGCAATTTATATGGAACAACTCAAAGGTAAGGTTTGCACGCTGTCTTTCCCACTCTCTCATTCCCACTCTGTCCAAAAGGGAGTTCACCAGAGTTACAAGGGTGAAATACTGACGGGGGCTTTTCCCACAGCTTCCTCCATTACTTCATGGCCCATGGCCTCCTCCAAAGGTGGAGAATCGGTGCTTTGGTAGTTCATTCAGCAAGTCCCAGCACCAGCCTCGCATTAGCAAACCCTTCCCCAGGCAGCAACAGCCAAGAGGAGCACAGAAAACAGAGCTGGAGCCAACCTTGGGAGTCCTTCCAGCCCATAACCCTCTTAGGGCACAATGCGGAATCAAACGGTTGGGGTGGGTTGTGCTCCAGAGACTTCTAGGGCCAACGGAATTGCCTTCCTGAGCTGTCTCTGGTGGTTGAGGAGCTTTGTGTTTCAGAAGAGTTGAGAAATCTGGGACCTATGAGCCCTTCTCTGGTCAGAGGAAAAAGAGCAAGCGTCACTTGGCCGTGGCTGTACTGTGACCCTTGTTCTATCTTCCCCTTGCCAGAATCTGCACCCCGTTCAAGCAGCCCGTATGCTCAGGTACCCGTCTTCCCACTAATTTTGAATGAAGACACAAAGGCACTCTTGAAGAGGAAAAAAAACATGCAGAAGCTGGTGATGCAGAGAAAGAAAGAGCCAGTAGATTCAACAGAGAGCCACTCCATCCGAAAGAGAAACCTTGTGCAGGAGGTGAGAGACAAGCATGATGCTTCTGATACATGGAAGCAAGGGAGGCCTGGGGACAAGCCTAAAAACCTGCGTTTTGTTTAATCAGGCCGCTACCCTCCAGCCTCCTGCTCACAGCAGAAAGCAGAAACGCTGCCCCACCATGAGCTCAGAGCACCTGAACAGACAGCGGCACCCAAAAACAGGCAACGAGGGCAAGACACGAGCACACGTGAGCATGAGATCCAGCCCCATGCCCCCGTTGCCCCACAGCAGCCGCCCGCACTGTGCTCCATGCTCGGTCAGGCACTCGCTTCCCATTTTCTCCCCCTTTTCAGCTGCAGCGTTCAGTCACGGGCTCAGTTAGAACTCATTTTTTTTCCTTGGTAGCCATTAGCAATATGTAATGAGAGCTGGCAACCCCACTGACATACTGTGGCAAGGAGACGGGCTGCAGATACCGCCCAGCTCCGAGCCCAGGCGTCAGGGTTGCGGTGTGGGGACTGCAATTCAGCCAGCACCGAAGGGCGGCTGGTCCCTCGTGCAACCTGGAAATTAACCGTCTTTAACTAGACGTTGGTATTACACGGCAATTTTCTCGTAAGCGCAAGGAAAAACGAAACCAGAGGTATAATAATAGCTTCGCTGTTTATTACTGTTAATTGCCAGCATGAATTAGTTATAACCTGCCACCACCGCATCCTAGCGTGCCGCTGAGGTGTATTTTTAGCCTTGTGCGCGCATCTGCAGCACGTGCTCCCACCGGGGCCGAGCTGTGGGGCTTCCCCCCATGGGGCTCTGCCTCCTCCTGAGCTTGGCCCCCTTCTTCTCCCTTCTTCTCCCCTCGGCTCCCAGGAGGCGCAGGTGGCCCGGCAGTACCAGCGCGACCTGGCCCTCCGCCAGCGCGCCAGCCTGCTGCGGCTGTGGCAGAGGATCGGTGGGGCTGAGATTGGGCGGCAGGCGGGCAGCAAGCGCTTCCACCACACCTTCTCCACCTACTCCTGGTCGTGGAACGCGTGCCAGGAGCTGGTGACCGCCGACGAGCTGCAGGCGCTGGACCGCCTCAACCGCCGCCATCGCCGGGCCACCAGGCAGGCGACGGCCACCAAATGGACGTTCCTGGAGCCCACCAGAACCCGCTGAAAGCGCCGCACGGAGCCGGTTTGGTCCGGGCTTCGCCCCCACCCTGCCTCCTGAGGTAATAAAGCGCGAAATAAGAGCCGAGACGAGCGTTTTTATCGTTTTTGAGCGTTTTTATTGCACCACACGCGGCCGCCGCCGTCGCCGCTCTCCTGAGGCGGCGCTGAGGTAACGGCCGCCCCCTCCCCCCCCCTCCTTCACCGCCGCCTTCGCGCGCGCTTCACGCCGCCGCCGGCCCACGTGACCTCCACACCCCCCTCCCCTCCCCGGATCCCTCCCCGGCACTTCCGCTTCCGGTGCCGCGCGGCCCCGTCATGGCGGCGCCCAGCGAGGAGGCGCCGCAGCCCCGGCGGCCGTTCGGGAGGCGGCTCCTGACCGACCCCGCCCGCCTCTTCCAGCACAACGCCTGGTGAGGGCGGCCGCCGCCTCCCCGACCCCTCGGTGGGCCCGCGGAACCCCGCTCCACCGCCCTTCCCTGCCCTCTCCCCCTAGGCCGAGGCCCGCGGAGCCGCCGGGTCGGGTTCCCGTGTGTCCCCCCCCAGCCTCGGGGTGCCCCTTCCCAAGGAAGCCCCCGCCCCGGGGGTGCCCAAGTCCCGGGGAGCCTCAGCCCCTAGGAAGCCCCTTCCCGAGGGTGACTCTGTCCCCAGGGTGCCCCTTTCCCCTGGGGTGCCCGTGCCCCAGGGAGCCCTTTCCGTGGGGTGCCCAAGCTGTGGGGTGTCCCTGCCCCTGGAGAGCCCCTGTGGCAGAGAGTCCGTGCCCAAGGGTGCCTGTGCCCCGGGGGTGTCCCTGCCCCCAGGGGTGCTCGTGTCCTGGGGTGCCCCTTCCTAAGGGTGCACATGCCCCAGGGGAGCCCTTCTCTGAGGTGCTCCTGCCCCCAGGGAGCCCATGTCACGGAGAGCCCGTGCCCCAGGGAGCCCCAGCCTCGGGGGTGCCTCTCCACACCCATCGCGGTGTACAGGTGGCCGGAGGGGTTCATCCCCAGCCTGATGCTTTGGCAGGGCGAGGCTCCACATAAGGGAGCTCTTGGGGTTTGGGTCAGCCCCGAGCATCACCCCCCAGCATCTCTGCCTTGCGGGAGCCCACACATTGTTCGTGCCCCCTCCCAGCATGCTGGCCTGCTGCACAGGCTCCCTTCTGTAGCACCCATTAGGGTGCAGAACAGGCAGGAGGACAGCTTGGCGTGGGGCTGTGAGGGGGCACAGGCCTGCACACCGGGGCTGCTGGGGCTGCCCTGAGAGCTTGGCGGTACGGAGGAGCCCAGCCCTGCTTGTCCAGTGCACAGGAGCACCCATTCCCCGTGGTCCTGAGCCTTCATTGGGTTGGAAGCAGTCAGGATTCACAGCCCCTTCCCATATTTCAGGAGCATGTGCTGCTTTGCTTCGTGGCAATCGATTTGTAGCTGTAGTTAATGCAATATCTGCTCTCAGACACTTAAAACTTCCCCACCCGTACGCACGAGCAGCTGATGTGTAAATTGAACAGAGATAACTTCACCCATCTGCTGCCACGTGATGCTGTGAGAGTGTGGGTTTGTGCTGGGTGTTAGCATGGAGCAGGAGGGCTTTGGGTGCAGAAAGCTGTTGTTTGAGAGATGTTCAGTGCCCAGATGCTTGAATGTGATGGGAACCGAAGGTATTGTGCATTTTTGAAGTAAATCTATCCACGTTAGGGCTCTGCTGTACCTGTTGAAAATTGGCTGTTTAATTTGTAATAAAATAATGAGTGCATGTATCAGCTTGTCATCTATTTTGGGACTATCAAAGGAGTGTTACAAAAGCATATCCTCAGTAGTACTTCCCTGCAGAAACTCCCTAGTAGTCTAGTTTTTCAGAGACAGTAGTTAAGGCTTTGTTTTGTTGCTTAATATCAAAAGGTGTATTCTTCCTGAGGCCAGGATTGTTCTTCTTGATCCTTGTATTTTGCTTTTCCTTCATTTGTTTTAATGAAAAAAGGTCAAGTGAATCACTTTAATGACTATACAACTTTGTATGCACATTTAAGTTATTAATAGGTTCTTAATGCTTTTAAGATTCCTGCATATTTGTGCCATAATTGGGTTTAATATTAATGTAACACTTTACCTTCCAAGTAACCCTAGCTGCCCTCTTTCTTTCAACTTGAGAAATAAAACGCAATTTTCTGAGACAGCTAAATCAAACGGGCTGTGGTGACGACCTGCTCAAGTGAAAGTATGCGAGTGCCAACCTTTTAATCACCTGTACAGGAACGATTACTTGTTTTCACTGTGAGGGAATGGCAGCTCCTCTCCAAGGAGCTCTGTTCGTGCTGAGTGCCCCGGTGGTTTTATAGGAAAGGTTTAATTCCTCTCAGCATGGCTCACCATCAAACAGGGGAAAGGATTAGGGGACAGGTTTGGTGTCTCTTGGGATCCCCTCCAGTTGTGCCTTTTGTAAAGCTCTGGGTACGGCTTGTTCAGATCTGGGAACTGTCCTTACGTGCTGGGAGCTGGTACGGTGCTGCTGAGCTGGAACTGGAGATGTGGAAAAGCTCCCCAGCCGGCGGCAGGGAGAGCAGTTCAGAGCTTTCTCTGTTTGTCGTTGTCTTTGCCTCACGATTCTCCGCTGAGTAGCTCACCTTCATTTTTACAACAGGGATAATGTGGAATGGTCGGAGGAGCAGGAAGCCAGTGCCAGGAGTAAAGTTCAAGAGAACAGCTCGCAGCTATTGCCACAAGATAAACAAGGTACCTTTAGATGTTGTTCTAATGCATCAGTCTTGCCTGTGTGTGCAGCAGCAGAACAGTCTGAGCTGTGTGTTCATCTTTGTGTGTTCCTCCCTTCCCCCTCTCCTGAATTATTCGAAATACATTACTGAGTACGTGATAGTGAAAATGGCAGGGAAGGAGTCTTTCTGCTCTAAATTTACCACTACGTGACTTTCCCACCTTCTGTCGAGGCTCGTTCTGGGGGAAAAAAAATGACCTTGGTGGGGAGGAGTCATCTTGGCTTGAGATTCTTTGTTTGTGTTGTGTACATTTAAATATTTGGTAGTGTTTCCTGTCAACAGGCTGCTTTCAGCATACAGCACCAGTCTCATTTGTGTTTTGCTCTCTAAAACTTAACTTCTAATGGTTAATTTCTGTTTGCTTGCATGCTGCAAGATTATTTTTTCCCTCTTAAGAGGCTCGAATAAAGTAGTGTCCGTACCCATCCCTGCCAAATTAACAAGCAGCACTGTCCTGCTTAAATCTGAAGTGAGGAAAAATGATTTTATCCTGATGGGAGTGTTTATCATCTGAGAGACAGAAAAGGGTTTCCAAATTTATTTCCTCAATCTTGGCTTAAAGGATATTGATACATCCAAAATGAAAGCTTACCTGAATGGGAATCGAGCTAAAGGAGCTCTATGGTCAAGGTGCGCGGTTGAAGCTGTTCTGGAGTTGGTTAGCACTGCATCTTCCCACCTCTTAGGTACCATCCAGTCCCTCGGGTGATGGTGCTTTCAGATTTCCTCTTCTTTGGTATGATAAGAGACTCGTTTGATGATGATCTTGTTATATCCTGCTGAGCTCTAGGATGTATCCGCTCCTTTTGTTCAAATTAAATTGCGTGTGTCATCTGTAAGGCAGCGCTGAGCACTACTGGAGCTGTTCAGACACTTCCCATATAGCTTCCAGTTGTGTTCACAATAGCAAATTTAATTAAACCAAAGAGCAACCCTCCTAATTTCTTGGATTCCCAGAAGTATCCAGCAGCTTCTATTGTGATACCCATTGTGTTGAGTTCATTTTAAAATCTGGTTAACATTAAAGGTTGCTGTCTGTCATGCTTTGAGAACCTATATGCAGCTCTGAAATTGTGGAGAAATTTGCTGTTAGAGCAGTTTGTCAGGGCTTCGTGATGTATTCCCAGACCGAACAATGGGGGACGGTCAGATTTTGATGGCTGCTATTCAATAGGAAGCATGTGGAGACAATGGGATGGCTGAAACATAGGGAAGTCAGCCCAGCCAAATGTGCCTGAAGGGTCCAGTATTTTGAGAATCAGAAGCATCCAGGCAGGAGAACAAAGACAGGCTATTGGTCATTATGGCTGTATTATTCTGTGGACTTCTTGGGCTGTCAGAATTTATCCTGAAGAAGGAGGGAGTTCTGTGTACTATATAGAAGGTGCATCTGCTGGCTGGAATCAGAGAAAGAACTGAAAGTTTCTTGGTTTTCTGTAAAGCAAGTCCCCACGTGACTCAGGGGATCACTGGTTCTCTTCTTGCCTTATATGAACAGTTATTCGTGTTTGCATTTCTGCAATGTGAAAGGGTGAGTAGGGGCTTGACTTTGGGTGTGTCCTACCAAAGATGAGCAAAAAGGTCAGGAGTCCTCGTCAGGAAGGTCTCTGGAGGAATCCGCCTCGCATGCTGATGTCCTTAGGAGCTAATACCACAAAAAGGATCTCAAAGCAAGTATTATGAGAACTTCTCTGACAGAAGTTGTGTGGGAAGACAGACTGAAACATTACTATGGTCATTTTTTGCTTTAACCCTGTTTCTTGCATGATCTCTATCAGCTGGCCCTTGGCTTCTTGTGTTTATATTGCTGGTGACCCTTTATCCTAGTGCTTTTAAAATGAACTCTAAATAAAGCTTCCGCACATCTGGGTTGGAGCGCAGCAGCTGTTCAATAGCATCCAACAGAATTTCACAATAATTTGGGAAGAGCAAAAATGTTGGTGATCCAAAATGGCTGGCTTGGAACATCGCCACAGCTCCTGATGGGAACATCCCCTTATGGTCAGAGGCTGCCATGGCACCTTTAGGGATGAGCAGGACTCGGGACTTTGTATTTTTGTTAGCTGAAAGAGCGACTCCAGCCCCAGCAGCCCTACCAGTATCCCTACTATTGCATGGAAGAAGTTGACAGCTCAGGAATGAGTGCACCAGGGACAGAATCCATAACTCATTCCTCTGACATTAGCAGTCACGGAGTGGCTCCTGTGCAAGTAGCAAACTGTCTTGGCTGCTTGCTTTGAGGTCTGGTGAGATCGCAGCACAAACGTACTGCCGTAGTCTAATATCAGACTAAAATTTCTTTCAGCTTGGTGTTTAAGAACAAGGCTTCTTACAATGAG